CAGTAGTGTCTAAAAAAATCATATAATTGTTTAATTTATTAATCTTTCAACAGGCTGCTCTATGTATGACTGCCCCTGTTATAACACCTGCTGCAATTTTTTCGGAATTTTTCGCCTATGGAATCGTTTACAATCTTCCAAACGATACATCACTCTTCAAACCAGTTCTGAAAAACAAAAATGTTGCAAAAACCAGACACCGTAGAGATTTATATCAAAAATTAGAAACTGTAATAAGTTCGTAAGTCAATTGTTATATCACATTATGTAGTTACTTTATTTTTGAACCTTTTGATTGATTAAATATTTTCTTGATGTAACTGTACAAATTATGTTTGTAGTATTGGCCACAATGGTAAGGAATGCATCCTTAAGATCTTATGCGAATCAGGACAAAAACTAAACCGAAAAAGGAACAACGTTTTGGAAGAAATATTGTGGACGATCTTTCGGTAAATATGCCTGACAATCGACATTTTTCTTTTCAGAAAAAGAAACGCAAAGCATAAAAGCCTACCCGTTAAATTATTAAACAGCATTCTAAAAACTAATAAACGTGTTTCCATTAATATTTATAAGCGTGTGCACAACAAGCAACCCTCTAGGGTTTCCATTTTAATCTTCTCCATCAGTCGCTTCCGAAAACCTCTTGTTATATGCACACCATCAGGGCTCACTAGCCCCTTTGTAATTTACCGTCCGATATCATTTAATATCAACACTTTTACAGACACATAACTATTTGAAACTGAAGTAATTGGTCAATTTTAGTTTACCACTGGATCCAATGTTGATAGAAGAATCGGACGATCATTGGCGATACCATTTGGCCCATAAAAAGGGACTAGAACAACACGATGTGAATTGTGCAGAAGTTTATTCGCAATGTAGACCATCTTTCATGGACATTCTCATAGATTTTGTTAATAATTAGTTTGTTGGAATTGAATAAATAAATAATGTGTCTACTTATCTGCAATTGAACATGTTCAATTTGATTTGTATCTACTTTAATATCTGCCCCATATACTAAAGTGGTATTTAGGAAGGATTGTTTGCGTAGGTCAGAACTACTACTTTATAAAGTCAAATTTAAGGTCAAAAGCTTTCTACGTTCCTTAGGAATGTATACGTGAAAATGTGCAGGAAATTCAAAACTAACGAAGAATTTTCTTGAGCGTCCACATAACTTAAACGTAAGGGGTGTTTTGGGGAAAAACAATTGAGTGAGTAATGCGTAGCGAAGCATTTAAAACTGTCAGTATGTAAATTCCTTTTTAACCGCAGATAAGGGTTTAGTTTTACAATTCAATTTATAGTAGAGACTTTAGGAGCCGAAATCACCAAGGCGACTAAAAGTTTTGAAAACCGCCACCATTCATAGCGTGGGGTAGTTCATCAATCTGTTGGAAATGTCGAAGGGTGTTCAAGCGAAAATTAAGTTTGGTTAACGCGGTGGTATCGGTCAATCTATACAGAGACTTAATACCCACTCAACTAGCAATAACATGTTTATCTCCAACCCCACGTCGCCCTCCACCAAACCAAACTACTCCAGAAAATCGTAAGCTACCTACCATTCATGATGTAGTTAATGCAGGGGGTTTGTTTGGTAGGGCCATAAGGCTATTCTTTCATATATTAAGCGTTCCGCAGCAGCTCAAGTCGTTACTACAACATCTCCCTTCGTATCCCCCATTCCAGTATTGACTGGCGCGTTTCGGACCAGTTCGCTCCCGTCCGGCGCGCCTAAGAACAAGCGTCGGAGGGATGCTGTCAGTAGCCGGGGATATGCTAGGTTGGGTGCGCCGTATTACATTGGTGTGATAGTGTGCTGCTCCCAAAGACGAACAGGAAAAAATGACATTGCGAACGAAAATCATAAACAACGATCGACGCTGAGGAGCTAAATGGATGAAACTTGACTATCAGGTAAAAACTGATGATAAGTTTTATAATTGTACAGTCCACTTCCTTTTGCTTCATAATTAATTACCTGCCTTTTAAATATTTTGAATCCAGTTTACGTAAGTATTGTGGATACCTAATCCGCTCAACTTTTTTGAAAGGATTTTAAAATCACACCAAAAATGTGCACGAAAAACGTACTAGTACTAAAAAGGCGTTGTTTGTTTACGACTAAACTTCAGTTTCACTAATTCTAAACTATGTAAAAAGGAAATCCTAATTACCGGAAACGAAAGCTTTACAATTAGTAAGAATAAAATAAAGGGATTGGTACTAATTGTAAATTATTATAGATATATATGAACTAAAAATGATGTAGAATGGCAAAGTCTCATTAAAACTCACCCCAAAGATATACACCCAAAAGTTACTGACAGTATCTACTAAATGAAAATGCGACAAATCATTTTTTTTTTTTGGAGTTTCTCATTTTGTTTACTTGTTCTCCTACAAGTGAAGGATTTCACACGTATTATAAAAAAGTAATAATCATTTTTATTTGACTGGTTCAGGTTTCTTGTAATTCTTGAAAAACAATAGTAGATACATGTCCTTTATTGTTCGCTTGGTACGAAGGAGGCATCTAAAAACAGAGAACTTGCCCCAATAAACGTGTAAAAACTAACACCAACTTCTTTGACTTGGTGCAGGAGTAAAAACAAAAAAAAATTAGCAAACAAAGGCTCACACGCCTTCTGCGATGTTCGCAAGAGTGGCGCCCGCTGTTGTTCAACCCCTCCGGCATTAATTCCGGCCTCAGACGAAAGAAAAAGACGCTAAGTTCAAGAATAGCCATTTGCTCAGTCAGCTAAATTACCTAAAGGATTCTACACGTAGACCGAATAGTAAAATTGCGACCTCAAGGAGACCCTAAATTATCCCCCTTTTTTACGGGTTCCGTTCGTCGATATCCACATTTTCAAAAAGCCGTCACGAAGGAATTAAAACTTTACAAAAAAGAAAGTCACCAACCTGGTGAAAATATTTCAAGCAAAAGCCACACTCGTGTTGAAAGTTTTTTTTAATCACTTGAAGTTATCATCACAACTTCTTCACGGCCTCCAAGTGTTTCAGGCAAACACATGAGAGAATTAGTAGAGTAAAACAAATTCAAACAATTTACTAACAATCCTACCTATAACAAACAACAAAAATGAACATAAAAAGCACCAAAAATTTTATTAACGACATTATCAATCAATCCCTTTTCTTGATTACAAAAGAATATATAACCCAGAGGCAATAAAACTAAAATTTAATATATGATATAATGCAGTACGTACATGCAGCAAAGGGCAAAGTTACACGTCATGTACAATCCCTGCATAATAATTACTTTTCCAAACACTCGATCCGAACTAGGTCCCACAGGCGTGTAAATTCCTCATCCAAATGGGCAAAGGCAACGTTAACGAGTTAAAATATACTTGCGCTAATTGAAGTTTCCAGGACTGGACTGAAATACAACTTACACATATATGTATATACATGTCTTTAAAAAAAATTGGGTCAATCAGGCATTTCATTTTACGAACGTGTCAGTAAAATGGTCCATGAGTATGTGATTGCTAAATCGAGCGTCAGGATTTGTTTCATATAACAAGAAAATATTGGAATATTGAAAGAAAAAAAGCGAAGCAATAAAGAAGAAGAATTTAAAAATTTCTTCTTCTATCTATTGCACGCATTAACATATCCAATCTATATACAAACATTAAAGATTAGGATTAANTGCAAATTAAGTTTTATATCTTAGGCGTTAAAATAATAAAAACGTATGTATATTGTTACATAATTAATTAACTAAACGAATAACACTTTATTCAAGTTTAAGTTTTATATTGTTTTTCATCAATGTTTCGATAAATATTTTAATGAAGTTTAATAAATTAATGGTAGTTATAACTTTCGACTAATTAAAACCGTTACTTTTACTCATTACTAATCTACACAGCAATATCATTAGCTTTTGAAGTTCTATAACTATCCACTAAATCCTGTTAGTTCTATTACCAACAATGTCATTAGTTTTTAAAGTTCTATAACTATCCACTGAATCCTTTTAGATCTATATACAAACATTAAAGATTAGGATTAAATATTATTTATTACAATCACTTTGGATTGGACGTTTAGATCATTGTTATCAAAGAGCTTCCGCAAACTGATGATGACTTAATCATGGAAACGCTTGACCAATTGAATTCCGACTAGCATTTCATGAGTTTGGTTGGGTTGCCTGATGATCCATGAACTGAGTAAATCTATGTACCGAATTGTCCTTTCTCTATAACGGAAATAGTCCACATTTGAACAGTGAGCACCGTGGACCTAGTACGAAAAAAATCAAAGGGAATTCTGAGGACCTAAACTCAATAAAACACTTAAACCCAAAATTTTACATAAAAACGTTTAAAGAGGCTAAAACGCTCAATCGCTTCAGCTTCAAACGACTGAATTATTTTTCAGTTTGTCTCTTTTTTATTTCCAGGCATAAACTGCAATGAACTACCTGCCATTAAAATGGTACTACATAATCTTCGGCCTATTTTATTCAGGCTCCACAAATCCAGACAGTAAAAGACTTTACGATGACCTTCTTTCCAACTACAACCGTCTCATTCGCCCTGTTGGCAACAATTCTGATAGGCTGACCGTCAAAATGGGACTCAGGCTATCTCAACTGATAGACGTGGTAAGCAATCATTTATCTCCTTCCCTCTTTAAATCCTTTACTGATAACGTTTGGTTTATTGATTTAAATTTCTTTTCTTCTCAACATTCCCCCAAAGTTTTTGGTAGATATTTTCTAAATTCCGTTCTGTCAGTGACTCCAGGACGAAGACTAGCCTTGGAACGACAAGTTCTTTTATATCCTGCAAATAAATTTACCTTTTTTGTCTTTCTTTTATTAGTCCCAAGTCCCAAACAATTGACTTTTTCCATTTGTTTTTGTAGATTCTAGATTACATTGAGATTGGGAAAATTGGCCCATTTAAAGACCTTTGTGCGAAACTTTGCTATTGATTTTATTTACTTTTTGAGTCTGTTAGTTTAGTGCGTTTCTTTGCAACCAAAATAAATCAATCTAACCGTGTAAATTAATCTAAACGAGAAAAGAATCATAGATGGGAAAAACAGGAATCCATCGCTTTAGATATTTCGTTAAACCCTCGAATAGAAATCCTATCAATCCTCCAAAGGATGGCTGGGGAATAAACTGATAGGATTACGTCAATCAAACGGTTGTTGTATTTTTTTGTGCAGGAATGGTTTTTACAGTTAGTTAATCAGACTACAGTCAATATATCGTCATCTACTGATACAATCCAAACAATTCTTATTAATAAGTCCAGCATTTTTAAATTAATAAACAATTTAATTAATAGATCGTATTTAATATTTATGTGTAATACAAGAAGTTAATTTTCTCCTGTATATGTATTAAAAAGGAGTCGTTTGAAAAATAAAATAAGAAAAAAGAAGTCGGTTGTGGCTGACGAAGACGCCAACGACGTCGGGCGTCGGTCGTCGATTTCTTGAAGGAAATTTGCGACGGTTGCACTTATTGCTTATATCCGCTTAGACAACTGAACTGAATTTATACAGAGAAACTAATTCACAACAATTTAGTTTCCAATTCGAATGCACTTTATTAACTTGAAAGCTTATATAAATTATTTAGTGTTTAAAAGCGAATTATTTATTAAAAATAACCACCGTTCGTACCATCGAAAATTAATTAAAAATTATTTGAGAATGTAGAAAACGTTTTGATTTTTGAAATTGGTCTTGAATCAATTTTAGTTATAGATATCTGTTCGCAGAGGTTTCCCTGCAAAACAAACTTTTGCTTTTCAACAAACTTCAATACAATTAGATGAATTACGGCTCTGCATATTACAGACTACACAAGATGCATGCAGAAGTGTTTATCGATTCTCCGTTGCATTCCACTTGAAATTCCTGCTGCTAATTCATATACGACAATTCAATTCGAGCCAATATTTCAGATTTAGCATTAGATATTCATACCGAGATGCCAATATGTAGGTACAAATACAGACCGTACAGATAGTAGATTTTAAGAACATCATGTTCTTATAATAATCAGCAATTTTTCGTCATTTCCAACAGGTCATACAATTAACGGCAGATATCTTACAAATAACTACCTGCGGTGTGCTGATGTGAGTTAATATTTTTATATTATTGTACCTACGTATTAATTTATAATAGAAAGGAAAAATCAAGCCACCATTTCGCTGACAACGTAAACACGGTAAAGAGCGACCTAATGGGCTATAACGTTTTAATGTTTGAGACCGTAAATAAATGTTTTTCTGTGGCTTTTACACAACGTCACCGGATGACACTATAAAATCTGCCCCGACTGAAGGAATAGCGAAATAAATAAAGCAACATCAATTCTCCGCTTTATTAGGAACGACATTTGAAAAAAGACATTTTCCACAGACAATACGTTCTTATATTTATCGAGCAGGGGTAAAATTTCTCTGTTGAAACAGTCCACAGTATTAAAACTTAAAATTAGATACTTTAAAATTGATATATAGGTATATAATATCCTAACGTCCTCTCGATTTCAGTTCAAACAAAACAAACAGATATCGAATAATGGAAAACCAAATAAAGCTCTCTTTTGTATACTATTGCATCCACTTATTTCTAAACTCAAAGCATGTCTTCTCAGATAAAAAAGTAAGTGAATATAATCTTTATAGCTTTGTTGCTTCGTTTGTTCTTCTTCGACAACTGGTTCCTCTGTCTCTCCATTAGGTACAATCTCATTATGGTATTCTAACTATCCACCAAACTCTGTTAACTCTTCACACAGCAATCTCGTTCCTTGTTACAGTTCTAAAACTATCCACTGTACTCTTTTATGTCTCCACTATAATCAATTCCTTTTTGAATTTCTGTAACTATCCACTGAATCCTTTTAGCTCTCCACATAGCAATCTCATTAATTTTTGAAGTTCTATAACTATCCACTGAATCCTTTTAGCTAATCTACACAGCAATATCATTAGCTTTTGAAGTTCTATAACTATCTACTGAATCCTTTAAGCTCTCCACACAGAAATCTCATTAATTTTTAAAGTTCTATAACTATCCACTGAATCCTTTTAGCTAATCTACACTGAAATCTCATTAGCTTTTGAAGTTCTATAGCTATCCACTAAATCCTATTAGTCCTCTAACCAGTAATTTCGTTAGTTTTTGAAGTTCGATAACTATCCACTAAATCCTATTAGTTCTCCAACCAGCAATCTCATTAGTTTTTGAAGTTCTATAATTATCAATTGAACCCTTTAAACTTTTCACTCCCCAATCTAATTATTTTGTTGAAGTTTTATGAAGAATTTCTATAACTATTTACTGCACTTTCTCGTCTTTCTATTACCTTGAGGTTCTACAGCTAGCATAGAAATATTTCAATTATCCAAGCTGCAATCTGATTTACTTTTTACTTGTTCTATCTACAAGTGTTATATATGTCTATATCGTCCCTTTGTAGGTAATTCCTACCTCGCGGAACGAAATGATCTAAATTGGAGGTAACCACTAAAACTTCAAATTAATCTTTTACCCTCACGTCGGTATCACACTCCGAAGCTTCTTGCGTAACAAAGGCGTTTCTATCCCGTTTCATCTTCCCATGTAATACACCTAAAATTGAGGTAAACTCTCTCTTTTCCGCAAATTGATCACATCTAAAAGCGCTTTTCAGAATAACGTATTTTCGACATAACTCCAAACTTGTTATTTTCAACGTCAGTTTCCTTTTGCACTGGGCAAAAGTTTGAGTTTTTCTTTATTAAATAACTTCAGATAGACCTACCTCCCATCGTGTGGAGTAACTTTTTATTTTCTTAACTTTCTGCTTCCTTGAACTCGACCTTTCAATATTTCCATTTGCTTTCTATAATGACTTTTTTCTATGTCTAAACGCTGATATCAATAAAAACTAATGGATACAAGAAAAGAGGAAGCCCTATACTATTTACTTGAAATGCTGAAAGATTATTTAGAACCCATTGAAAAGAAAGAAGAAAGATTTTCTTCTGATGATTTGGAATAGTTATCTTTTGATCATCATTATTTCAAGGGAAATAACTGATTAAACTAAACTCATTATTTTAAAGAATGCTTAATTGTCGCGTTTATTTTAGTAAATTACTCTAGGCGATTTCGTAGTTCTAACTTTTCAATTAACTTTTTTCGTTAATACCGAGGCGCAAGTTTGCTCTAATTTTGCTTGATAATGAAACTGCGCCTGTAAATCGGCGTCGGTCATACACTCAATGTTCCAAATGAAAATCGCTTATAAAGGAAAAGCTGCAAGCTCATTTGTGGCAGACATCATTTAAAATATGAATATCAAACCCTGCACTATTGTGTTCGCTGCCAACATTAGCAAGGGAAAATTGTTTGTTACAGAATTTGAAGAACCAGATTATGACCACCAATGTGTGGGTTGAACAGGAATGGAACGATTACAAATTAAAATGGAACCCTGACGATTACGGAGGAGTCGAAACGCTGCACGTCCCTTCAGAACATATTTGGCTTCCGGACATAGTTTTATACAACAAGTAAGTCCTTAACAAGTATATTTTAAAGGAACATTCGAACGCAGGCTTTTATAAAATTTCATCAGCCCTTATTAAGCATATTATACATGTGCATGTATGTATACATATTATATTCTAATCTCGTGCTATAACCATAAAATTCGAGTGTGTAGTTGCAGTGATCCTAGCACGATGAAAATTATTATGATGAACTTTTTTATCATCGCCATTATAACAGTTGAATTATATCTTCTGTCCGTTGAGACAAATTAAATGGTACAGAACAACAGCAATGTACACACCAGCGCAAGTTTGCAACTCTGTTTCAATTGTCTTTTTTTATACCGTGAGCAATTTCATCTTCTTGTACAAACAGAATGGCAAACAATAGAAAGCCACTGTAAAGTTTCTAAATATTTAATTTAGACGATATTTCTACTTTCTTTCTTTCTTTTCTTGTACACATTTGCATTATAGTCAGTTTTATTCATTTTATTCTCCTCTCTTTAAAGTTTGGTATTGGTTGAGATTTTATGTTTACTTTTCAAATCAAAGAAAGCAGCGCTTCGACAGAGCTTCCACATGTTGCCTGGCTATTTGTTTGAAAATTGTTTATTAATTTATATGCTTAATTAATTATACGATATTATGTTTTAAATCCTGATCTTAATTCGATACTTTCATCATAATAGATTGTAATCATTAATCTTCTGCCAGATTTCATTTTAATTATACGCGAAGGCTTTCAATTAAACAACGAAACTGTCTCATTAACGAAACTTTTTGATTGGAATTAATACGTTCAGATTGACTGAATTTTATACTTCATAATAATTATAATTGTACTTACAAACAAACGTTCTAAAGTTCTCATAATACCTGACAAAGTTTTAATTTCTCCCAACTGAACGATGAGTAGTAGGTACAACTTTTTATTAGTTATCTAATGGTAAAAACTTTATGAATAAGTATCTACTCTTAAATATTTTGATCGTTAAAAATCAGCCGCCTATTCCGGGATTATGATTGCACGAACGATACAGCTGTCGACCTATTTTTACTAACCCTCCTGATTTCCGTTCCGGGAGGGCGTATATTGCCGCCGACGACGCCACCGGATAATCCTGTTGGAGACTGATCCAATCAGTCGTCTATCAGTCGAGCAATTAATCCTCTCGACCCCCGGCTGTCAGGAGGCTGTGTCTAGTAAAAGTTGAACAGATACACGGAGACAATCAAGCCATTTATACTTTCCAAACTTGGCGGCAATCCGAATATGGCAATTATCTCGGATATCAACAACCATTCAAACCCTTTACAAGAAACTGTAGATGTATCTAACACGTTTAAGTACAATCTTCACCGATTGCTTATTCAAAATTTCAACGATACTAACTAAAGTGTTTAAAAAACCATTTCACAAATCACTAACAAAACCATCACGATTCTCTATTGTGACGATCATCGAGAAAATCACCTTATCGTCAAAACTAAAGGGGTTAATATGTATATATATGTCTGCAGGTAAAGACTAAATGAAATAACCACAAATGTTTTAATACTTTTTTCCCTTAGAAACAGGTACATTTCTAAAATACACTTGAAACTTTAAAAAGAACACTGTAGACTATCGTAAGACTGGTTAGAAGAGAAAGGACGAAACTTGAGACCACTTTGGCGCAAACTAGTTTTAAGGACTACTGATTGTGGCTCCTGCCCAGGAATCTTTAGCGGTTTAATGTTCGTAATGAAGCCTTTCATGGTATTATCGTCACTTTGTTTCTTTACGTCTTTTACTATCTTAATTTTACGATAAGGAAGTTTAATCAAATGCGACTTGTCTGCCAAAACATTGACGGAATCCTGGTCAAATATTTTCTTTATGGGAATCGTCCAACTCTTGTTTTCCAGGCAGGCACAGAAATAACGGTGCATTTTCGAACGAGTTAATTGAAGAAGAATTGCCATGACCAACAAAAATTTTCAAATCAAACCGTACTCTAACGTCAATTTTTGTATTTTTCACTTTTCGTTCAATGGTCACCTCGATCTGTATCTGTTTCATTTTAAGTGCTGATGGAAATTACGAAGTGACGATAATGACGAAGGCGATTCTTCACCACGACGGTAAGGTTGTTTGGAAGCCGCCTGCCATTTACAAGTCCTTCTGTGAAATTAACGTGGAGTATTTCCCTTTTGACGAGCAGACTTGCTTCATGAAATTCGGGTCTTGGACCTACGACGGATACATGGTACATGCCCAGTTGAACGGGACAAATCCACCAAGACTCTTAATGAATCTATTGTTCCAGATTGATTTACGACACTTGTATCAAAGTGACGATTCAAACAAAATTGACGTAGGAATAGACCTCCAAGACTACTACATATCGGTAGAATGGGACATCATGAAAGTGCCAGCAGTAAGAAACGAAAAATTTTACGTCTGCTGTGAAGAACCTTTCCCTGATATAATTTTTAACATAACTCTTCGTAGAAAAACACTTTTTTACACGGTCAATCTCATTTTACCATGCGTTGGTATTTCCTTCCTTTCTGTTTTGGTATTTTATCTGCCAGCTGATTCAGGTGAAAAAATCTCTCTTAGCATTTCAATCCTTCTTTCCTTGACTGTCTTCTTCCTTTTGTTGGTTGAAATCATCCCTCCGACGTCCATTACTATGCCCCTGTTGGGCAAATATTTATTGTTTACCATGTTGCTTTGTACCCTTTCTGTTGTTACCACCATCGCCGTTTTGAACGTCAACTTCCGATCACCTGTAACCCACAAATTGGCTCCATGGGTCAGGTAATCAAAACCTCAAACTGTTTGATACTTGCAATTAGATTATATTTATCTCCTATGAGTTCAATCATTTGAGTTAGGATTTTAGATCTTGTAAAATATTTATCGAGGTTCATTTTCGACAGATACTTTTTTATCGGCGTCCTTCCCAAATTTTTGTTTATTGAACGTCCAAAAAAGGAGGATGAAGACGATGGCAAAGAACCTGACAGCATGTTGACTGACATAGTTCACATGCCCGCGACAGAGAAGTTCAAAAACTCTTTCGGGGCCAGTTTCGACTTTGGCATTGCTGCACCTTCGAGATTCGATGTGGCAGCTTCGGGGGGCATAGGCCCGTGTTTCGGGGATCCCCCATTTCCCACACTTCCGTTGTCAGGTATTTGGGCTGACCTATTCGGATTTAATGAATGCTCTTTTCTGTTTTTCTCTTTGTTTTGACGCACAGGAGGTGACGACGAACTCTACAGTCCTGCTAGTTGTAGGACGAACACTTTCGGTGATTTTGAAGAGCCCAGTCCGATTTTCGAAAAAATGGGACTCAGCGACATAGAAAGGACGATTGCTGACTCAAAATTTATTGCTCAACATATGAAAAATAAAGATTCATACGAAAACGTAAGGGGCACTTTGTAATCATTAAACAAATCAGAATTAAGCACTGTGCAAACTTTACTGAATATAATGTGATTATTTCGAAAGTTACGACATAGATAAAGACGTAAAGTCACACGCAAGTTATCATTTTTTCGTATTTTTATCTCCTCTCCATTTTCTTTCGCTGGTTCGTCTTAAAAATGTCGAATAAGAAAAGGATTCCAAAGACTAATTCCTTGAATCCAAACAAGATATTTCGACTCGTCATTATAATTGTTAATTTAATTGGACTCATGACCCTCAAGTGTAAATAATAAGTCAACAATTTTGGACAAATCGACTGCTTAAACCTTTAATCTTCTAGACTTCTTTGGTAGGAAATTTAATTTTTCTCCTATCTAGCACTATCAAGCAACTGTTGAATGCCATGAATTAATAAAATAGACAAAGAAATTTGTACAGTGCTTTTTATTTGGTTTAAAATGAAATTTCATCAAGTCAAAGTAAATTATTGGAGGCAGGTAGTCATTTTAAAAGAATTTTTAATTTAGGTTGAAGAAGACTGGAAATACGTAGCAATGGTCCTCGATCGACTGTTCTTGTGGATCTTCACGCTTGCTTGCGTTATCGGTACTGCACTGATTATCTTCAAAGCACCCTCCCTATATGATACCACGACTCCTATTGATATTCGCATTTCAAAAGTCGCAAAGAAAAAAATGAAATTGCTCAAAATGGTTCCTGAAGAGTTGTAGACTCCTTTATTATTCATACAATTCCTTGTTTCTTATTTGTCCATTGAAGAAGAACGCGCATGGAAGAAATACAAAGAACGGTTCGTAAATATTTTACAAAATAAATCCCCCCCGTGTACCTCTTAAACTTATTATTTTCTTTATAATCACCCTTAATTACTAATACTCTCTGATTTATTAATTGATTTTTTATTTCTTGATACACACAAGGTCTGTAAATTAACATTAAAATCCAAAGTCTTTCCAAAACATAGCCAAATTTTGGCTTAGTAAGTACATTATAATTAAGAAGATTTCCACTGATATTTGAATTGAATTCTTTCTAATAATTTAATTCACATCCAGGACAAATGTAAGTATCAGTACGTATATAAATTAATTTTATTTTTATTTTGCTTAAATTGTTTGTACAAAAAACAACTCAAGAAAAGTGAACTGTTAAGTGCAATTTCTCAGCGGATTGCTCCAGCTTGTCTTCCATGGTTTATTTTTAGTTTTTATCATAGCCAATAACAATATCGTTGCACTCAGCGATTCCAATTTATTTAATTAATTAAAAACGAAAGGGTAAGTCTATTTTCTTTTCGAAACATTGTTAGCCTCGATGCACCAATTAAAGAATTTTAAATGTATGTTATCAAGGGTAATAGTTTTCCTTGAATTAAACGTTGCAAATTAAGTTTTATATCTTAGGCGTTAAAATAATAAAAACGTATGTATATTGTTACATAATTAATTAACTAAACGAATAACACTTTATTCAAGTTTAAGTTTTATATTGTTTTTCATCAATGTTTCGATAAATATTTTAATGAAGTTTAATAAATTAATGGTAGTTATAACTTTCGACTAATTAAAACCGTTACTTTTACTCATTAATTAATTATTGTTAAATAGATATATATAATTAACAATTATGCTTTCTATGAAAACTAATAAATCATCTTAAATAGACGCTTATGCCGTCATAAAATGTAATTGATGTAAAATGAATTTATTAACGTGTTGTTNCAAATTTAAATATTATAAATAAATTAAATTTGTTCAAAATGTTTTAAATAAAAACGAGACAGTACGTTTGGGAATTACCAAAGTTTATGGACGCATTCAAATATCTATTTAAATATGCTGATTGTCTCCTATTTGGTAGGTTAAAAAATTTCGAGTCCATAAAATTTTTAATAACTATTTGGCGGCAAACATTTTTAAAAATTATCGTAGTCGTAGTGGGGGAATTTTATGAACTAATGGTGTCTAACCATAGGCAACCCAACATACGTAATACATTATAATTTGAAAAATCTCGTGCAAATATACATGAATTGATTAATATTTAAACAATTTAATGGACTCGACAACTAATAATAGTAACGATAACAATAATAATAATATAAATAATACTACTAATAAAGTGTAACGGTGTTTTTGGTATCTGTTATTACATTAAACACTTTCTTCTCTAATGTTTAAAAATCTTTCTGTTTCAATAACTCCATGCGATAACAATGATAATCATTAGAATAGAATTGTTTTATATCTGTACTTGAAACATCAATCAAGTATAAAGTGTTAATTTATACTCAATACTGTAGAATAGTTGTCCATTAAATACATTTTTCCATAATTGTTATATGTTTACTTTGACAATTCTAAACGGACCCAAGATCTCTTTTCAAATTCTTTATTCAATGATAAATAATTTAAAACTTTCTATTAGTCTATAAAAAGATCCCCCATTTCCCACACTTCCGTTGTCAGGTATTTGGGCTGACCTATTCGGATTTAATGAATGCTCTTTTCTGTTTTTCTCTTTGTTTTGACGCACAGGAGGTGACGACGAACTCTACAGTCCTGCTAGTTGTAGGACGAACACTTTCGGTGATTTTGNACATGTTTTCATTGGGCTTGTTAATCTATTTATTATATTCACCTAATCATCAAACACTCTTCCCTGTAAAGGACTTGCACCAAATTAAAAGCAGATAAATAATTTAAAACTTTCTATTAGGCTTACAACAGTGCATATAAAATTTTGAAAATTATATTTTACCCAATTAGTAGAGGCTGAGATTTCCAAACTTTACTAATAATTGTTAAGGAATACCAGTGAGCGTTTTCCACCCCCCATTTTTAAAATCGTTTTATTGGCACATAAAATGTGTATACTAATTTTGAAAATTATAATTCTCTCTTTTTGTACAAGGTGAGATATTAAATTGACTAAATGTAAAGAAAAACAAAGTTAAGTAATTAAATTCTCGCTTTATTCATTAATTTATAACAATGTAAACATGCTCATTAAACAGTTGAAACAAAACAAAAAAGTTCCAATTAAAACAATAACAAACGTTATCACATTAACATCGTTCTTATCTAAATGTTTTGGTGCTATCAAGTACATTATTAACTTAATTATATGTTGTCCATCCATGCAATAACAAGGAATTAAGTTTACTACAGTTAAACCTAATGAAAACGCTACTAAATACAATAACAATTTGAGAACGATCATAGGAAAAGACGCGGATTCAAAAAACATTCTTGGAATAAAAGATGAGACCTCTACGTCTTGTAAAACGTCATAATAGTGTCCTAAATATACTACGTTTGGTTTACTTATTCGTCTAAAATTAAAAAAGAACGTCGAATTCGAAAGGATCGGTTGAACACAATGAAAAGTGTTTGGACAATGTAAATCAGAATTGCAATAAAAATCGTATTTCTCAGCCAACTTTCGAGCGGGTAAACAGAGATGTTGGGGCATCTCTGCTACCCCATCAGCAGGCTCTATATACTCGAAGCACAAATTTTCCGACTTTTTTGGATCGCAACAATTTAAAATACCGAATTTATCATAATAAACCGACACACTTTCGTCTAAGGATCGAATAAAATCGCTCTCGACACAAAAACCGATCTTATGCCCTTTCATATTGACCAGGCAATTGTTCCAATCGTCGACAGACTTTACAATACAATCGTTAACTTTGGTAACGATGTCAGCATCGTGTAAACCCTTTACTCCCGACAAAGGCGAATTATCCCCAACATTTGTCACAATTATGCCATTATTAACGTAATAAAATAACGAAAAAAAATGAGGTATATTACAATACAATATCCAAGCGACAGCAGCCAAAACAATATTGTGCCAAACACCTGCACAAAAAATCCTTAAAGATCTTAACAAACTTATCTTCGATAATTTATCAGTATTTAAATTAACATAAGCAACAGGTATTATGAAAAATATATAAAAACCGATGCCTTCAATATGTACATCTTCGTTTACAGCTGCCAAAGCATGCCCCAATTCATGAACTAGGCTACAAATTAGCATTGATATAATATAAAACCCTAATTCTGAAGAGGGCAGATTTAAACCAGGTACCACAGGCTCTAAGGACACTATTTTCTTAACATCTTCTTTAACAAGAAATATCTGACTTGTTGCAACAACAAGCAACACAAGGGTAAAAGGTAAAACTGCTAGAGACACGTATAGACCTAAGGTGTACCATACATGGAAGAATCTTTTAAATGCACTTCCCCATCTTACTAGAACTCTATTAAAAAACTTAGTCTCCCAATTTACATAACAAAAACTAAGTTTGAGGCCAGTACTTCGTAAAAATTCAATGTAAGGGTAGTGGGCACAAGTCTAAAACAAAATTACAATTAGGTAACTTAAGAAACAGAAGCTATAAATTTACCTTGAAAAACGTGTCAAAGAATAATAAAACGGCATACAAGACGGCCACAATTATAATAAAAGTAATGGTATCCATTGGTAAATCTAGAAATTAAACAAAATTTAATGTTTTGTAAGGTTATGTGTTTTCAAAATTGATTACTTCATGGACAAATAAATATTAAATAGCCTATTTTACATGTTAAACGAATTGTACACACTCCAGAGCTTACAACAAATACACCAACTAGGACAATTTATGTATTACAATAAACAATTCTTAAAATTGTACCTCAGTTTAACAATAAATGTAAGAATATACTTACATTGATAAACTGGTACATTCTCTCTAATCCATATCTAATTTCTTACATTCCTGCTGGTACCCATAAAAACCCCGGAATATTTTTAACAATAAATTTATATTATATAAATTTATAA